CATAAGACTGGCCAGCAGCCATCAGAGGAGGCTAACACCAGCCTGGAGGAAAGGTTATTGCACATTCAGCTGACAGTATATTCTTGTCTATCACGAAGCACCTCTGTGATACCCCTGGGATACCAGCAGCTGTGATGGGATGAGAGCCTTACCCAGCAGGCCATGGTGGGAGACTTGCGAGGGAAGAAAGTCTTCTCTGTATGGAGATGCACAAGAAAATACCACAGTGCAACCCATTCATGTGAAGAAGGAACAACCTCAGAGATCCCTTCTCCATTCCAAGTTTGTCTCACAAAAGAGCAGATATATCACGTGATAACAGTACTATCAGAGAAAATTAAGATCAGGGCACTGTGGTTGGTCCTGAAAAGCTTCTCAAGTGTTTTTGATGCTTTGTAGTCAACTAACAGATGGGCATTTATTTCTATTGAACTTGAAGTGCTCTGACTGAAGGGAAGTTCAAGTGGTTTTGCACAATTCTGACCTTCAGAGAAAAATCTGATGTTCTAAATATCCCCTACAGGCAATTAATTAGTAAGAATAATTGATTTCACTGTCAGGCCCTACCCCATTATGATATGCACCATTAGCAACAAACACAAAATTAACAGAGGACTTAGAACAGGATGGCTGCATCTAAGGAAGAACGAGCATCACCTTTACATAAACATCCAACTGCAAAAGAGAACAGGTGACAGCTAGAAACTCAACTTCAGTCTTGCCTTCAGCCTGCTGTGGATGAGGCTATGAAGAGACTGTCTTTGCTGCATAGAGCAGCAGACCGAGAAGGTGCTTAATGCCAGAAGATGGTTTGAATCCAGACTCTTTTCCCTAAGCACATTCATTTTAATACAATCAAGATGGTACCTGAAACACCTAAATATGACCTTTCCCCAGATCTTTCCTACAAAAATAAGGACGAAGCCAAAGAAAAATCATTATCAAGACACAAATCCAGGAAATAAAAGGAAAAAAAAAATAATCCCCCAAACTATGTCACACTGGAAGCAACACCCCTCACAAACATACATGTGAACATGAAAAATACATATTCTAGACCAGACTCAAATCACCTTAAACATACAAAAATGCATCACTGAAAATTCACCACTGAACACAAATTCAAGTCTTACACTTCAAACACAACAGTAAAACAGACCTTGAAGATGGTGTGGTGCTTCTAGGACCGTTCACCTTCCTCTTTGTAACCCTTACAAACACGTGGCTACACGCTCCTACCTGGCATTGTGCAGCTGTGGTTTTCTGACCCTTTTTAATATGGACATGGACAGGGGTGTTTTCATCCACATGGACGTGCAAAGGGGGAGAAGAGGAACGGCTCTTCATGGCTCTTCTCCCACAAATGGGAAAGGGCAAAACAATGAAAGGAAACCTGTGGATAAGGAAACTGGAAATAATAACATTTCCCTCTGTGCCGGAAAGCAACAATGGCCAGCCTTGGTTAAAGTTTGAGCTTTCAGTAGCATCTGCCATTTTGAATTGCACACTATTCTGCTGCAAAGCTGGGATTAATACAAATAACTTCTCTGCTGCTGGTGTTTTCTGCTTTGAACATTGCTATTAAAGACCAAATACAGTTGGATTGATAGCAGGTGTCCGTAAGAGTCATTGGAGTTCAAAGTCTTTGAGCAAGCAAGCAAATCAAGGTTCCAGTAACCAACACCATCTGATTATGAAGAGAAATTTGAAGGGAGAAGAGACGCGTTCATTTAACAGTTTGCTTAAGGAAAAATCAACAAGAGACCATCAGATCCTTCCATCCTAGAAGCCTGACCCTGTAAACTCTTTCATACAAGCTTTAAGCGTCTTTTGAAGCTAAACAAAAGTTTAAAAGCTATTGGATCACAGTATTTAACCTTTAAGCTCCAGAAAAAGCACAACCTCAACCAATACCCAACACAAGATGGAAAAGCCTAGAGATGCAAGATTAAAGCCTCTATCTTTGAGCTCGATGCTTTGGCTGAGGTAATGGTATGATGCAATTGCAAAGCCTTCAAAAGTCCACCAGCAGCACTAACCTGATTCTGGCAGAAAGCATTTTTTGCAAGGTAAATTACTTACACTTATTCTAATGCTTTTGGCTCTTCTGGACAGTGCGTTCTGTGCAGAGACTGAAGTCATTTCATCGTTGATGGATGAGGGACACCTGATATAGAAATAATAAAATGACCACTAATAAGAAAAGGTGTCAAATTCTGAACAACCTCCTCTTTTCAATTTAAGGCTCAAACACATCAAGTATACAGACCCAAACAACAGCGGTTGCTGTGTCCTGGCTTCCTTTGACAAGCATGAGATGAGGGAAGAACAGAGATTGTAATTCCTTACATAGTGATAATGAAAGTTGGCTTCAACCGTGGAAATGTTTTGTACAATTACATGATGGCCTTACTCAAACAGTCACAAACCTTCAAATTCTAACTGCAATTTTAAACCAGTTTAATATGGGAACAGGTTTGAACAGTTCTAGGGCATGTGTACATCCCCTCCCAAACCCCACAGCCTCCCCAAATTCTGCCATCATCAACAAAATCTGCAAAACTGCACTGAAACATTGATGGTTTAGGTTTATACTGTTGTGCAGGCTGAAGAGATACATCTGAATTAGCACTCATGCTGAAGGCAACCCAGCACCACAAAGAGTCAGTCAGCTACAGCACGAGCATCTTCTGGCTGAGAGGACTTGAAGACTTGAAGAAATGGGATTGCAGGAGAAGGGATGTCCAAAGGACTAATGCTTGCTGGGGAGGGATGGAGGACAGCTATTAGAGTGGTGGTATATCAGGCTTAGTTAGCTGACCTTATGTTAACACTCCTCCATAATGCTACAAGTCAACTCACACTTCTTAATGTGGTAGAACAGGATTTTTACAACACTTCTGCCAGACTAGAACTGAGATCACTCTTTGTAGCTCATTGATTAATTTACCAGCTTGCTGCGATTCATGTAATAAACTACTCTAAATAAACCTATTACTACTGCATCTGGTTTTAAGCAGGACACGTTTAAAACAAAACACACCTGTATATCACATCAGAGTAATGAAGATTACAGAGGGGAAGAGAGATAGATCCCCAGCTTCTAGCTATGAACAACTCCAAACACCACTGGGCACTTTAATCTTCTTGCTTTCAAGAGAAGGGTTAAACTCCCCCAGGCCTACATGTGAGCATGGGTTAATGCACTGAGAACTTGCAGAGCTTTCGAATCCCAGACTGGTTTGGGTTGGAAGGGACCTTAAAGCTCATCCAGTTCCAGCTCCCTGCCACAGGCAGGGACCCCTTCCACTGGAGCAGCTTGCTCCAAGCCCCTGTGTCCAACCTGGCCTTGAACACTGCCAGGGATGGGGCAGCCACAGCTTCTATGGGCACCCTGCGCCTCAGCACCCTCACAGGGAAGAGCTTGCTAAGATACAAGGTCCAGAAGTGGAACAGAAAAGCAGTCACCAGCTTCCGCTAACAACTGGGTTTATTTCAGAAGTTTAAGCAACTTTTCCTGCCATCTTCGGGGGCTCTTCCGACAATCTCTGCCTGCCTCAGGCTGGCAGGGCCCTATCCCGGGCTCAATCTCCCACTCCAAGCAGGTTCAGCTCCCAGCTCAGGGCAGTGCTCTCCCCAGAATGGGCTGAGAAGCCTGCAGGAGCGGCACCACCCTCGAGCAGCCCTTCCCAATGCCCCCCTCTCTACAAAGCAAGTTGTCCTCTGTATACTCAAAGCCGCCCGTTGGTTCCCGTTTCCCGCTGCGGCGGGAAGAACCGCCCTACGGCGGGGGTACCCTTCGCTAGTGACAGAGCAGGCATAGGGACTCTTCCCGGGTGCCCGCCCCACCGGCCCCTCACCATGAAGCGCCGTGCAGGGTCCGCTGCCGCCTCAGGAGGTGGCCGCCGGCGGCAGGGAGGCGGTGGGAGGCGTTGTTGCCATGGAAACCCCTCAGGTGGGCAGGGCCGGGCGCAGCGAGCCCGCAGCAGGTGCCGCAACCGTCGCCGCAGCACTTCCGGGTCCGCCGCCGCTCCCGGCTCCCCCATTGGGAGATTCAAACCCTCCACGTGACCAGCCCGCCGCCGCACGCGTCACCACGCCCCGCCCCACAACGGGCCCCGTCGCCATAGTGACAAGAAGCGGCCCGACGGGATGTGCCTAGCGCCGCGCTCCTCAGCGGCCGCCCCCGGGACCCACCGCGCTCCTCCAGGGCCAGGCCCCCGGCGACTCGGCCCCTGTGCCCCGCCACTCTTCTCCCCCGAGGGTGGCTAAGCCACCACCGAAGGGCTCGGAGCAGGTTCATGCAGTTGCGTTAAAACTGCATCACTCGCTGTTGTGTCCATACTGCAGGATGCATGTTTCGGTACAAGGCAGCTTTAACACGAATACAGCAAGTCACAGAGCAGCAACCCAGCTGGTTTTACTGTAAACATCATTTTTGTCTATGCCAGACCATAACTGGGTTTGTAACTAGTCTCACATTCAAATAAAAGTAAAAAATACAACAACCAACCCAACAAAAGCCCCAAACCCCACACCCCTATGACAACCTTGGCTGTTACACCTCCTCCCCAGCAGAGCCCAGCTGTATTACAGACCAACTCCAGCTGCACCCAGAATGTCTCAAACAAAGCAGCTTCCCAAAACCTGCCCTTTCTCCAGGGAAAACAGGACACAGTACCAAGGCAAATCCCAAGGCTTAGGCTCTGTAACAGAGCCTGAATCATCTCATGCTAGGACAAACATCCCAGCACAGCTCAGGAGACGTGTACATTATCTGCTGAGCCAGCTCCTAACCCACTGGTACAACAAATCCTTTGCTACTCTCACACAGCACAAACACCTACATTGGCAGCTTGCTCCCAATCCTTCTTTCTTCCAGAAAAAGAATAAACTGATTTCCCCAACTGATCCTAATCTTTTGAGCACCAGCTCTGCATCAGTGCTTGCTGTGTAGGGTGTGCTTTCCAGGTACAGTAAGGACTCGCAGATCCCAGAGGCACACATTAAAGCCAGCCTTTATCCTTGCAGACTGTACAGCATCAAGTACCGAAAGAACCGTTTACATGGAAGAGCGGAAGCAGCGGTGACTGTGTCACTGGAAGGATGCCTCTCCCAGCACCCTGGATTCCTCCAGTTCCCTCAGCACTGGGCTTACAAGATTCTATTGCAGGAAAAACTGTCACTTAAATATAAGTATCCAGTGTCTCAGTCAGGAAAACACTTCCAGGTGAGCAGCAGAAGAGAGCCCAAAGCAAAAGCTCCTCAGACCCATCACATCCGCTGTGGCTGTAACACTCACTAGCAAAGTCTTGCTTTTACAGTAGCTTGCTCCAAGAATGGCTCTCACCTAAAGGAAGCCTATTTGCTGCATTCTTCAGAGCTTCTCCTTTCCAGCAGCATTCATCTTGCCTGTTCCCCTCCTAAATACCACGCTCAAGTATACACAGCTGGATCCCTCCTGCTCACTGCGACTTGATATTCTAAGCGGGACGGTCTCTGTGCCTCTGTGTCAGTCCTTAGGTGTGATCAGCCCTTTCAGCTCCTTTAAGATAAATGGTGTTCCTTCTGAAGTATTTTTTTTACCATGCAAGTGCTTCAGGAAGGCAGCTGCAGCTGGCATCAGAACGCAACTGCGGCTTTTTGAATGGCTTCTTCCATGCGCTCGTACCAAGGCTGAATCTTGGTGTGAACCATCATGTCATCAAAGGCTTCCAGCCCTTCCATGACTCTGAGGACCCCATACACCGCCTGCACCAGAGCAAAAAGAACACCACCAGAGAGTCAGTGGAGAACAGCTCAGCAGCCTGGCCAGTAAGGCTCTTTCCCCATCCTACCATCTACTCCACCACTCCAATTAGCAGGGAAGACAGAAGGGCAGAAAGGTAGTTAGGAATATGCACGTTTTCCCATGAGGAACAGTGGAAATGTAAGGAAAGTCAGGATCTACATGTAGTTACGGGGCAAAAGTTCATCCCATCTCTGCATCAAGCCCTGTTGTGAAATGATTCCAAGGAAAACAGCTGATGCAAGGGATGAATCCTGCTCCAGCCCATACTGCTGCCCACGAAGGGCACCCCAGCAGCACCAAGTTTGGTAAAACTTGTGCAGATGTGAGGCTTTATTCACCAGTACATGAACCAGAGCAGTGTCTTGGCTTGTAATCTGCTTTTATCATGCTTCCACATTAACAGCAACATCCACCTGCAGACGGGAACTGCATCTTAGGAAACATTTTTCTGGAGGAAAACAACAAATATGATCCCATTTAATCTAAGTCCCCTTTGCATGGGAATCGTATTACTGCACAGAGGATGTCAACATTCATCTCACCCAACCCACCTTCTCTACCTGTATTTAATTATTTCACATACATGAGTAACTGGGTAATGTGTAATACACCAAGGAATAAACAGAGGAATTAACCCCTTACCAAGTCAGCAAGGTTCGGCTGGTTTCCACCCATGAACAGTCGGTGTTTGCCAACAGCTTTAACCCACTCATTAACTGCTTCGTACAAGTCTTCTCGGACATCATCTTGAAGGTGATGTCTGGATAAAGAAAGAACTAGTCTGAAGACACTGGTTTGTTTCTTTAACCTTTTATCATCTCTCATCTTATGGGGATGGTCCTTGTCTGGGAATCAGGAAGGTATCCAAGAGTGAAGGGGGCAGCTGGTGATTACATAGTAGATGAGTGGAGGGGTTCAGCACCTCCAGTTAAAGCAATACACTGTTACTCACATTGGATTAAATGGCTTGGCTTAAAACTCTGAGGTTCTGCCCTTTTGGGGTTCACAACTAAGGAGGTTAAGGAGCTATTCCTCTTATGTACTCAGTGCTCAGTGGTACCAACCTTTTCTTCAGCCTCTTGCTAATGAAGAACATGGCAATAGCCCCCACGTACTTGGCAAACAAACCCTCCATGGTGCCAAACTTCCCCTCACGGACAATGTAATCGAAAGATGCCAATGCTTCTCTGGGGGTACGGTAAACGTTGGGGGAGATGAGGTGAACAAGCCAATCATCTGCCCATTTTCTCCACTTCATTTCTTCCCTGCAAGCATTCAAGAGAAAGAAACTTTCAGTGAATGAGATAGAGATTTCAGGTCTACAAGAGGGAGAATGACAGCGGCACTGGGCAGAGGTTCTGACAAGGAAAAAGGTACGGAAAACTCCTGCCCAGCCCAGTACTCTGGTGACCTCTCTGAAACACACTCAGGATCGTTACCTTTGACAAGAATCCCCCAATCTTAACTAAAAGTAAGACTAAGATAGAGCTTCTCCTCCCAACATGAGAACTAAAGCAGAAAGGGAAACCAGCCCTCTATAGCATTCCCCTATGACATAAAGGAAAGGCCAAGAAGGGAACTGGAAGCAGCTGAAGGGTAGCACAACCGTGATGGTGGTAACTAGGCCATCTAACAGCACTGTTACACAACAAACACCAAACCACTCTAACTACTGAGGCTTTAAACACTAATTGCATGTGACAGGATTTGTCACCACCAGAGGGATTTTACATCCACATCATCCCTGAAGCACATAAGGAGGAGGCTGTAACCTTTCCTGGAACTTAAGGGCACTTACACTCTCACTTCTTTGACAGGATAGATTCGTTTTGTCTCCTTCTCATCCAGCATGAGCCAGTATTTATTCCCATACTCAAATACCTCCTTGCCCTGCTCAGACACAGTCTTCATAGGAGGGTAAAAGGCCACGATCTCCTCTAAGCTATTCCTTCTGTGGACAGAAACACAGTGCTGATTTGGCTGCTGCAAAACTGAGCAAGAGTAAAGGAGTTTGAAAAATACACACTTTAAAATATATTATTCTAAAACCAAGACCACAAGGTTCCAAATTCTATTTAAAATAAGTTTTGAAAAGAGACTAGAACAGCCACTTGCTAATAACTATTATTAGCACACATACCTTTGGGTCAGAACAGAAGTTTTTGCAGGCCTAAAGGCCACAGACACAGCATTTCCATTTTGTTCTAGACGTTAGAACTGCCTAATTGTAAGCTTAGTCCCAGGACTAACTTCAGTCCATATTTAAATAGGTTTTGTGCAAAAAGTAACAAAGCAAAGGTGAAAAAGTAATTCTGGCAGGTAAAAGCTTTGCTTTACTGCACATGCATCACAACGTAACAGGTATCATCCACACTATCACAGCTCAGCTGGGTCGAACACCCAGAACTTCAGAGGTCATAGTCAGCAAGACACTTAGGACCAGCTTCTAAATCTCTAGTCCTCAAGGGCCATTCACACTCAACTCTTCTCCCATCTCCCCATCTTCTTACTTGGAAATGAGATAGGTCTTTATTGCACTGATGATCACCGAGGAGTCATTCAATTGCTGAAAAACAGAATTAAAACAAGCTTCTTTTAAAAGACATTGGTGAAATTGAAAAGGAAAGTCTTCAAAACCTTGCCCCCTGTATGCTGAGGCTCCAGGTTAGTACTTGTAGCCCCTTTCCCTGCCCTGTACATCCATAGGAGTCCCTGCACATCTAAAGACAGCCCTATGTGCAAATCTCTTCTGTGATTGTTTCACAGCATCACCTCAAATTTGCCTTTCATCAGATAACCTGAATCTTGAGTGTTCTTGAAAAGTCATTCTTTTCCCACAAGACACAAGCAATACCTGTTACAACCGGAACAAATGACATGTCCTGCATAAGAGCTAATAGAAGCTAGATAATCACTGCGCTACAGTCACTACACAAACATCCCTCATAAGAAAGAGTAACAATAAGTTGTTGCTCAATCAGTCCAAGGTATAGGAAGCCATGAAGCAAGTAGCGAGTCTTAGGCTCTGAAGAGGACAAAAGATGATCTAAAGACTGCACTGCATGTGATAAACCTGAGAGACATAACACAGACAAAGCCTCCAAACCACTGCTTGTGTGGAAATCAAGCTTTCAACTTAGTAAGACTTACCAGAGGGCTTCCAGCATTGGCAAGCAGGATAGGCACCTTCCTGTAGGAAGAGAATTTGATCTCTTTCCTCATTATCGGGTTCACTTCCACGATTTCATAGGGCAGGCCATGATAATCAAGAAAAGCTCGGACTTTGCTGCAGAAAGGACACGTTTTATACTGGTAGAGAGTGAGCTGCAGGCTCCCTGCAGGCAGCTGGGGAAGGAAGAGACCAGAAGCTTCTATTTGCTACTAAAAACATAAATATTACCTCCCTTCTATTTTTCTCATTAAGTCATCATCACGGACATTCAGTTTAAACATCTGAGCATCACAGTATCTTCACTTAGAAATGCCTTCTTCAAAGGGCATCACTATTGGTTCTATTACCACCAAATACCGAGGTTTTAACCCAAATAACTTAATCTGCTGGCAACTCCTACTCGGAGCCAAGGATAAAAACCAACAACCAAACACCAAGTTAAATCCAGTTTACCCTTCTATACGCAATTGTGAAACTAAAGAAAAGCACAAGAACATCTTAATCTGTAAATCAAACCCAGAAAGGCCTTTTTAACCCGTATTTTTATCCCCTCCACAAACCTATCTGTTGAGGCCACAAGGTGGGGAGAGCATGAGGAGAGTTTGCTGTTGATTTCAGGCATGCATTTGCCCAAGTTCAGGCTCCTAGGATTACCAACCTGTGGACAACTATGATAAGGTGGGAGACCCCAGGGCAGCACACGCTGTAAGGCATCAGGTGGGGGATGCTCCCCAAGACCTCTATATTTCAGCCATCTGACAGGCCATGCCAAAGACTACTTACACATGATAAAACAACTGCAGCCATAGCACCCCAGACTGGGTTGGGTTGGAAGGGACCTTAAAGCTCGCCCAGTCCCAACCCCTGCCACAGGCAGGGACCCCTTCCACTGGAGCAGCTTGCTCCAAGCCCCTGTGTCCAACCTGGCCTTGAACACTGCCAGGGATGGGGCAGCCACAGCTTCTCTGGGCACCCTGTGCCAGCGCCTCAGCACCCTCACAGGGAAGAGCTTCTGCCTAAGAGCTCAGCTCAGTCTCCCCTTTTCATCTCATTGTGCTTCTCATTTGCAATTTATTTGGTTACACAACCCTCCGCGGGTGCTGGGTAAGGCACCAACAGACAACGCTGCTTCACATCCCCAGCAGGCTTCCACTTCCCGACAGGAACTCCGTGCACCTCCTCAGCGAGAGCGCTGCCGGGGCCTCCCTCAGCTTTATGCGGAGCAGAAAAAGCCGCTCGGTCCGCACACCGAGCAGACCCCCCCCACACCCCACCGAAGCTCTGCCTTCAGGGGCCCACGGGCTCGGCTGCGAGGGCAGGGCAGGCGCATGGGGAACCCAGCAGGGAGGGAAGGAGAACGCAGTCCGCGGGATGGGGGGAGCCGCCTCAGGCGGCGAGCGGGGCCCGGGGGAGCGTTACCTCTGCGGCCGAGTGCTCCCGCAGGCGCTGCCGCGCCGCCAGGTAGAGGCCGGCACCGCCGCCCAGCGCGAAGGCAGCGCCCAGCAGCAGGCGGCCTCCCCCGCCGCTGCCGCTGCCCGCTCCGGCCGCAGCCCCGTAGGCCCTGCACGGGGCCCGTAGCCACCAGGGCGACAGCAGCGCCGCAGCCCTCCCAGCCCTGCCGGCGGCCGCCATCTTCCCGGCACGGCGCGGGCGGGCACCGGGGAGGGCTTAAAGGGACCGCTCCGCCCCACCATGGCGGCGTCGGGTGCTCGCAGGGGTTGTGGGACCCGGGTCCGGCTAGAAGACACCTAAAGCGGTAATGGCATATAATGTGTTCTGTGAGAGCGTATCCTCCCTCTGACCAGCATGGTACCACAGTGTGGAAGTCAGAAGAGCGCTTCACACTGAGAGTCATCATCCTTTTCATTAAAGCGTGGTTATGTCTATTAATTAATCTCCAGTTCCTCTATATTGGGCCCAACACGGCAGCATGCAGCGGGGTTACCCCACAGAAAGGAGAAAAGCTGGCTGTGGTGTTAAATAAGGACATAACCTTCCCTTCTTTGCCCCAAATACCCATTTAACAGCAGTGTCCTCAAACCGGGTGCTGCTTGAATTAGTGCTCTAATTGTAAGTTATTTTCATCCCAGTGACATCAGGATGAGAAAACCACACAGCAATTGGATCTCCTGGGGGTGAGCGATGTAGGAGCGGGATGGGGCCAAAGACAAGGAAGGACAAAGTCCATTGCAGTCATTCCTTCGGGGTACAGGAGGTGTGGGGGCGCCCTGAGGGCGGTTCAAGCCGCTGAGGGGATGGAGCTGGATTGTGGAGTTCAGCAGCAAAGCCCTCGCTGCTGCAGCCTCAGCCCGGGGGCTCCTCATGGTGGAGGTGCAGCTTGTCCATATGGATGTCTTGGGAAAGAAGCGCTGGGTGCCGATGGTGGCCCCTGAGGGCAGCTTCGCTGAGTGCCCAAGTCATGGGCATAGAATCAACCAGGTTGGAAAAGCCCTTCAAGATCAAGTCACGGCCACCACTGACGCACGGCACTGCGGCCTCGTCTCCACGGCGTGTGCACACTTACAGGGACGGTGACGGCAGCCTGTTCCAATGCCTGAGCACCCTCTGGGGCAGGAATTGTTCCTCAGCTCCATCTAAACCTGCCCTGGCGCAGCTTGAGGCCCTTTCCTCTTGTCCCGTCACTAAATGCGTGAAGTGCAAGTGTGTGCTATGGCTGGGGCAGCCCGGGGATGGGGATGCGGGCACCAGGGTGCGAGAGCACAGCCTGGCACTGGGGAAGAGCCGTGCCCGCCGCTCCCGCCCGCGCCCCGCGCCCTGTCCCCTAACCACAGGTTTTACCCCCGCGCCGCCGGCCGGCCCTGCGTGACGCGCGCGGCGCCGAGCTCTCCCATTGGCTAGCGGCCCTTGCGGGGGCGGGGCCGCGCCGTGCGGGCGGTTCCGGCGCTGGGGCCGCGGTGTCCCGGCGGGATGTCGGGGCCCAACGCGGAGCCGCCCGTGCCGGCGGGCGACGGCGGGGACGGGGACAGCGACAGCTTCGGGGAGGAAGGTGCGTGGAGGCGGCCCCGGGCAGCGCCGCCCCCGGTGGGGCCGTGTGGCGCGGGGTCAGGCCCCCCCCTCTGCCCGGCGGGCTCCCGTAATGGGTTGCTGCCTCAACTGGGAGCGGGGCTGGGCCCGTCCCTGCCCGGCAATGGGACACTGAGCTCCCGCAGGCCTGGGGTGTGCGTTCCCTTCCCTTGTGACCCGTTTCTCCCGTGCTATAGCGGGTGCGTGTGACCGAGGAGGAAGATGTTTCGGTTTTGAAACGGCAGGATGCGTGACGTGCGCAGAGCTGGGAGGAGCGGCTGGGTTGGTGAGGCTGAAATCCAGCACTGCTCGGCCCTCATCACAGGACGAGTGTGCCCGGAGCACATCCTCCCCTTCCTCCTCGCTTTCTCTGTTGGCTCCAAGCAGTGCTGCAGGCAGGCACTGCGTGTGTCACCTTGGCTCTTGATGCCGGGGGGAAGAGGAGCCAGCCCCAGCCGGTGAGGTGTGGGCTTGTCCTACCCCCACTTTCCTGTCCTGCAGCTCGCAAGCCTCGCACACATCAGCCTGCGGTCACAGCTCAATGCCCGTCTCCCTGCACACGTGGCTTCAGAAAGGAACATGAGCCTGGCTCCTGAGTAACCTGTCAGCAGATTTGTCTTGTCTTTTCACTCTGGTTTTTTGTTATTCTTTGGGATTGTGTGAATATCACTCAGAGCAATCCAAAAGCAAGTGTTTCATCGCAGTAGCACAGCTATCTCCATCTGATTAACAGTACTAATACACATCACTGAAATGCCATTGTACCCAGGCTTTTACTTCTGCACTTGAAACGGGTGCTGTGAATAGGAAACTGTACCCAGAGAACCATCTGTCAGGGTCACACTGGATGAGTTCAGTTCTAATCTGAAGGACCCAAATCCTGCAGTTGAACCCTGTGCCCCACACGTCAGAAGTAACAGTGCCTCCAGCAGCACCTTTGGGCTCATCCCCGCTCATGCCACAGCAATGGCTGTGCTGCGTTGGCAGCCTGAGCCCAGCCAGGCACTTGCAAAGCACATTCCAGCCTGGGAGCCTCACACAGGTAATTAACAGAACGTTAATGTTTCACCGCAGTGCCAGAATGTCTCCATCAGGAAAGATGAGCCCCCAAGGCAGCTGAAAACGCTCACTTGGGATTTGGTGCTGTTGCAGTGTGGATTGCTGCATGCTAGCACTCAGCTACTTATATGTGATATCAGAGGCTGCTGCATACACCAGCAGTGGGTTTGGGCTGCCCAGGTACCTTGCCTCAGACCTTGGTACCAGTCCTCCAGCTGCCTGCTTGATCAGGGAACACAACACACATAGGATTGAGTTGTATTTTACTTCACCCACCCGTGGCAGATCAGGGACAGCCAACCCGTTGTGGGTGTGTTTTGCAGAGCTCTTGCTGCTGTCCCTGGCTACAGTGACAGTATACTTACATTGCTCAGTCTCTCATTTCCTTTCCTTTTAGAATACGCAGCAATAAACTCCATGCTGGACCAGATCAACTCCTGCCTGGATCACCTGGAGGAGAAGAACGATTACCTACATGCCTGCTTGAAAGAGCTGCTGGAGTCCAACCGCCAGACACGTCTGGAGTTCCAGCAGCAGAGCGAGCAGCAGAACATGGAAGCTGATGTGCAGGGATCGCAGCCTCCCAAATAGTGTCTGGCCACAAAGTCAGTATTGCTGAGGGAACTGGTCACTGATTTAAAGTTAAAACTTGAAGAGGTACCTTATGCCTGTAACTTGTTCCTTCCTGTGCCTGTGTCCTGCCATTCACCTCCATGTTGTGTTTTTCTTTAGCTGTGTGATAGGTGCAGAAGCACACAGGTGGATGGAGGGGAGCTGGTTCTTTCTGCTCCCCAACTTGGTTAAAGCTGGGTGTAAGGAAACCTGATGCCGTGCAGGTTGTTTGTGAGCAGGTCCCTCTTCACAAAGAGGAACAATTATCTTGGCTCTTTTAGACCATGAAGTCCAAGCAAGAGTGTTACAGCTGTAGCCTCTTCCCTCAAAAAGGACATAAGGCAAGGGTTGTCCTGACTCCATGCTTGCCCCCAAGTGTTAACTCTGGTGACACACTTGGAGAGGGAGGCCCTAGGCCAGCTCCTGCCTTAAAACTGCAGTTTCTCTGTTATTCACGTTAACTGGGATGTCCAAAATGTTGGCTGATGGTCCCAGATCACCAGATGCTTCTGTCCCATTCCAAACAGATAAGCTACTGGGATGATGTTTTGACTGGTATAACTGGAAGCTACCTAACTCAAGCTGCCATTAAGAACTCAGGTGATAAGAGAAAATCACAGCAGCCCAGTTAGTCCCCATCACTGCATGAGCTATGCAGAGCAGTGACAAGACCTGCCTGTGGGCTGCTCCCTGTATGTTTTGGCAGGAGTATCTATGAGCATCCTGGTCTGAAACTGCAGCCTTGCCAGGATGGCCTGGGGCCAGCACTGCAAAACAATTCTTACTGTTCTGCAGAGTTAAAGGAGTTTTGAAAGTTAAAGAAGTTATTTATAAGAAATCTGTTTTACTAAAATCAGTTTGAAGTTAAGATTTGTTCCTAAGAGCCTCCACTATGAGAACAGACTGTACTAGGCCTTGTAGCATTAACAGAGGACCAGGATGCATTCTTGCCCAGCTCAGGACACAGTGCTTGCCTAAGTGTGCATCTCTGAAAGGAAGCAGCAGAATTGGGCACACAGTCTTCCAAGAGACAAACTTTTCCTCTGCCTTGAAAGGAAATGAGAGGAACTACAAAGAATTACTAACAAGTCTGCATCCATCTACTTCATGGACCTTGTCCCCCGTGACAATCCCATTTCCAGGTTCCACAATCCAAGCCTCAGTTTTTCCACACAGTTGCTGTATCCCAACCGTACAAGTAATAACCAACACCGTCCTGTATTAGACACACTAAAGCCAGGCTTCTTTTATTCTTAAAATAAAAACAGCAGTTAAAGTTGAAGGTTTTTGCTCTATTAAAAGACTCAGAAAATAAACATTTCCAGCAAATATCATATGTAAAGGGCTCTCCCTTTAAGGCCACTCTATCTGGGTTTGTGCCTAGAAGAGCGTCTGCACCCAGCAGAGGTAAGACCGGCTGTCTCACCTTTGGCTAGGGAGGAAGGCTCTGCCTCTGCCTCATTCTGTGCTAAACCCCATCTGCTCCCCAGATCCTGGCAGTTGTCTGTGCCTTCCCTTTGCCTGGCTGCATTGGCTTCCTCCTCCTCACACAACGTGGATGCCCACAACTCCCCTGCAGCGCGGTTCTCCTCAGGGAGTGACCAGTGGGCACTAGTGGTAGTGGACTTGCGCTCTTCCTGTAGGTTCTCTTCGTCTACAACCATGATTCCACACACATCATCAGTCACACTGGCCAGGCCTTCGCCCTCTGCTACAGAGGTGGCCAGCTCACCCTTACCCTCCAGAGACCTTGGAGCTTGCTCTTGCAGGGCTGACAGCTCCGTGCCCCCTTTCTCTATCCCACGATCATCATTCATTTTCTTGCTGGTATCTGTTGCTGGAGCAGGAGGCTGTTTTGGATCATCCAGCAATTGGGAGCTGGAGCCCTGGGAATGCAAAGGAGCCTCGGGGTAGGCAGCTGTGGCACGATGCCTCGCTGCCTTGTATCTCTG